ATATATATATATATATACATATATATATATATATATACATATATATATATATATATACATATACATACATATATATATATATACATACATATATATATATATACATATATTTGTGTGTGTGTGTGTGTACACACATATATATTTCTTTGGATTTGGAAATGTCTGTTACTTGTTCTATATGTGCAGGAATGGCTGTTAAAGACTTCTGGCAAGTTGATGAGAGAACTATTGTATTTGTTGCCGATCCAACTTTTGGTGAGTAGAGAACTTCATGCAATTGCAAACTTTTGCAGCATAGTCCTAGCTGCCAATGCTATACCCTTGAGTTAGACTGAATTCATAATGCTAATTTTGACAGCACAAAGTAATAAGCCTCACTGCTTCATCAAGTTCAAGAAAAGCTGCAAATCAACTAATTTTTGAAAATATTAATAGAAACTATTAGGGCATAGTCAGAAAATATTAATAAATTTTGTTCTTTCCAAGTGGGAGAAGATGAGAACATGTAACTTGTTAATCAGGACTCCTAGGAGTCATGACTCGTAACTATTTCTTGGGCATTATATTTTGCATTTTGGCGTCCTTGTTAGTATGATGATTGTTGAACGAAAATAAAGGAACTACTTTTGTATCTGTTCGATTCTTTTACTGATATCACTTGCACCAACTTTACAATCCTTGTCTGGTCATACTTCGGTTGATATATTGGTAGAAGCTCAGGATTTTGAGAGTTGGGAGTCATGTATTGCAAATGTTCACATAACTCCTAATATTAATCATGCCACTTAGTACAATGCTTCATATCTGACTTGTAGCAGCCCATGTTCTTCATTTATACTCTCCAGCCATTTTCCATTTTTTGATCTTTTACAGGAAACATATTGCATTTCAATGTTGGGGCCACCGTTGATTTGGATGTTCCTCGAAATTTCTGGAGTCGTGTGGCTGGGAAGTATGGGAACATGTTTTATTGGAAAGAAAAGGTGAACATAAACACTTACTGATAAAATACTGCTATAAATTGCTAAAACTAATTGCAGACATCACAAAATTGCTAAGTACCTCAAGATTGACTGACTGGACATGTCTGCATTAATTAATCTATCATACATTGGATTGTGTTTGTTCCTGTGATTTTGGTATATACTCTTATTGTTTTATACTCTTACTGTTCTTCATGGTCAAGAATCACAACTACATTTATTCTTTTCTTTGAAGAAAATTCTGTAGCCAGTCTTGGCTACTCACATATACGTGTTGTCACACGAAAGAAGAAAAATTAGAAATTTTAGTTTCTGTGGTGGACAGTTGACCTCAGCAATATACTTTTGCTTTGGAAAAATCTCATCATTGCAAGCATTCCAAATGGTTCAACTACAAGTGGGTGTTGTGAATCTTTTTTTTTTTCTGAAATCATTTTAGACATCAGTCATGCTAACATTAGCTGAAACTCTAGCTGTTCAGATTACTCGTCAAACTTGCATTTCTGATGAATACAAATGGTTGTTATCTGTGTTTCAAGTTCAGAATTAGACACCAATATTCATTCTAATGATTCTGTTTTTTTCTTGGCATATTGATCGGGAAACTCTTAGTGATAACCGATCAATTCTATTTGAAAGCATTTAAAGACATATCTCAATGCTTCCTGGAGGTCCAAATGATGCAATCTCGAGACGCATTCTCTCATCAACTTTAATTTCCATGTCATGGCGGTATGTGTAGTGCATTGCTAACCATCTCACATCATCTATTGGTCTTGGAAAATGTCATAGGGGGAAGATGCATCAATCGAAGCTGCAGTGATGGCTATAACAAGTTGCCTGAGAGAGCCAACGGCACCAAATAACTGCATGGAGGTAAACTAAAAGCATTCATTCATGATATCACACACTCATGGCTTGGTGAATTCTTGGAGGCCTCAATCACAGTATGAACCATGGAATCTTCGTCTCTCTTAGATTTGTAATACAATTTCCAATCGTATGACTTGTATGCTTAGGATTTGATTATGTATGAGAATACATAAGATTGATCTTATGTTTTGCTTTCCTCTCTTTCTACTGTAGCTGTTAGATGGTCTGAGAATACTCAAGATTACATATCTAGAGCAGGATATTTATGATTCTCACCATATCTAGAGCGTGACTTGGATTAAATCCGTATCCATCTCAGACTTAATTAAAAAACACCTAAACCCGGGTTAAACCGGCTGAGAAGATGTGTTCTAAAGTTGATGGTCAATCCAAATTACAGAGACGACTCAACTTGAATCTAATAGCATGAACTTTGAGAAGAAAGTTTGAGTCAGCTGAAAATATTTTGACTGAACAGTAGAGAGAGAGAAACATGTGTTGCTGATAGATCATTATTCACATCTGAAGTATCTTAATGTTGGCAATGCGATTCTTAGTAATGCGACATATCGGACTGATAGGCTGAGAGTCTTGCCCCCATCAGTATGTAATATCTCTGTTTCGCACCTATGTGTATTCAAGAAAAGATTGGGCATGAATTAAATTGGACACAGAGAATCCATATATATATATATATACATATATATATATATACATATATATATATATATATATACATATATATATATATATATATATACATATATATGTACGGATGTACCAAAAGACGACTGGTTAGTGTACTCCACGGATCAGGTCACAGATCGGAATTCTACCACTCCAACCCGCATCGGATCGGATCATCTTATCGGATTCATACCGCATCCGCTACGTTGCGTGTTATTTCCGGTCCCATTGTTTTCATGCCGGCATTTACTCCTCACCCGTTCTCTCATATTTCTGTTCCTTCTTTCCAAATACGACTCCTCCCCACCTTAAAGAAGGAACCGAGTCCAAGAATCCCAATTCCCGACGATGGCTACCGCTTCTCGATTGAGAGGGCTGGGTGCCGTCCTCGCCGCCTCGGGCGCGACCTGGGCGGCGGTCTCACTCGTGCAGCCGCCGGCCTCCGCCAGCGACCGCGGCCCCGCAGGGCTCGACGCCGCTCGGCGGAGGATCGCCGATCCCGCCGCCGCGATCCCGCCGAGGGAGGTCCAGGAGTCGGCCCTGATAGGGACCAGCGTCATCAACCCACTCGATGTCCTCGTGATTGGCGGCGGGGCCACCGGGTGCGGCGCCGCGCTCGATGCCGCCACCCGTGGGCTCCGCGTCGGCCTCGTCGAGAGGGAGGATTTCTCGTCGGGGACTTCTTCGAGGTCTACTAAACTGATCCATGGCGGTGAGGATTCTCAATTTCGTTTCTTTATTGACCGAGATCTTATATGTTACTTCTTTTTCTCTTTTTTTAAAATGTGAACAATAGAATTATTTATTTTGGTAAAGATGTGACCTTTAGTGTGTTTATACGCCCAGCTTCGCCAAAAGTTCGATCCTTAGAGTTTCTTTTATTGGAACGTACTATAAGATGCAGTAGGAGATGAGAAAATTTCTGGTACTTGGGCAAAATGTTAATTCTACAAATCATCTGATCTCTTATGAGCCTTTGTAGTTTGTATCTTTAGCTGTCTGTGATATCGAATGTGTGAGCTAAAGAATATCAAAGATACTTTCTTCTTGATATTTGCACGTTAATTTGTTAAACTGGCCGAAGTTCACTGATGTGTCTGGTAGTTGCTGCATTTGTATTGCTTACTTTGGCATTAAAAGAATCCTCTTTCCTTTTTATGGGGTTTACAGAGTCTGATGCACCATTTTTAGGAAAGACAGTTCGATGAGCTAGAACTGATATTAGAGAAGGTGAGATTTACTCATCCTAAAGAATAGGAGCAAAACAAAATCTGCCTTATGACTAAAGACTCTTAAGAGTTATCTAGTATCCTTTATCCATCCTAGTGCATGTTCCAAACACATTCAAGTATGTTTGACAAAGAATAGAACATGAGGCTAAGGAAATAATGCAGCAAATAATATTGATTTTGCAGAGGTGAAAGACATATCATTCATTTAGGGCTGTTTTGTTGCTAGCAACTAGGAGTCATGCAATCACGGTTGCAGGCATCTCACCAAATATATCTTCTTGATTGCTTGCTATACAACTGCTTCCTGCATCTGTACTTGCCATAAGTTGATTCTTTGTACACTTAAATTGACATTTGAACAACCTTGATCTTAAGTATGTTCCTTTTAACAGAAAAGGCTGAATTCAAGTTTCCAATGTTACAGTTAACATCAGGAAGCTGCAAATTTCAGTCACAAATGCCCATATATATATATATATATATATATATATATATGTATATGTATATATATGTATATGTATATGTATATATATGTATATGTATATATATATATGTATATATATATATAAGTATATACACATATATATACATATATATACACATATATATATATATACACACACACACACACACACATATATATATATATATATATATATATACACACATATGTATATATATATATGCACATATGACTACATTTCCTTCTTTTATTAAGTGTAGCATTTGCAATTAGAGTGCATTTATTTTATTACAGATAAGAAAAGCTATGTGCAATCAAGCAACCATAACTAATGCTTAGAAATAATATTTCTTAAATGGCTTAAGACCTGTAGCTTTAAAAGTAAAAACCCAGTAAACTTTCTTAAATTGCCAGTTGGAGCATTCTGCAGTAGAGTGAGAACCAGAAAGTTTGGTTTCTAGTGCTATGTGGAGAAACTGTGTTTTCTTGAACAAACTAAAATGTTTTTTTTTTAATCATGTAATGACTAAAAGAGATTAAAATAGTATGATGATCCTTCAATAAAAGAAGAACATTTGGTCTTAAGTTATCCACTAAAGTTTCAAAAGATACACATGTAAAATAGTCTTGTGATCTTAACTAATCAATTGCTATAAATTCCAGTGTTATTCAATATCTTACAATTTTACATGAATGAAATTTCCAACAGATATGACAAAAATATGTTTTAAATCTAGTTCTGTGATAGGAGGCTAGGAAGATCAATTCTTAATAGCAGCAACCTTGTGTAAGCCTTAAGGTACCCTCTTTTGGTGACACTTCTGTGAATCAGAAGCTTATATGTGTATTATATGAATGAAATTTATAACAGATACATTCTGCAGAAAAATATTAAATCTAGTCTTTTGATGGTGGTTGGTAAGATCAATTCTTAGCAGCAGCAACCTTGGGTAACCCTTAAGGTACCCTTTCTGGAGTCACATGGAAGGAGGCACACTTCTATGATTCAGAAGCTTGTATGTGTATTTGTTGTGGCTCCTAATACTGGACATGCAATTCCATAATTTCTGAACTGTCTCCCATAAATTCAAAACTATGACACTGCTATGTTTCTAATAAAACTTGAACAAATAAATTTAAAACTTGTTGTTTTACATTTGTGATATTGGTTGCAAATAAATGATGAAGTTAGCTCAAAAAATCTTAATATTTTTGAATTTTCTTCCTTAAAGGCATCACTTCTTTTAATTGATGAAAAACACAACTTTTATAGTGTACGAATTTTTATTTACATAGCAACAAGAATAATAAGTATATTTCAAAAGAGATTTGTAAAGTTTCTGTTTCATTCATACATAATATATTTATGTGAAGCATGAAAAAAACTTCATAAAATGCCTGATTGAGCATATGTAAATATGTACAGATTGAAGCTTTCTACGTGATTCCTACAATTATATTTGTATTACTTACGGCTTTCTCGAATCTACATTAGCACTTGGTACATACCCACACCTGCTTCAGTAACTTAGGGTTAGTTGAGGTATATATTTTTCTTACTATTATAGTTTATGACACATTAAAGTAAAAAGAAAGACATGCACATCATCCTATTGATATAGGGAAATATATCAATAGAACTTTTAAGATTTTCATATGAAAATGGATTTACAGTAGACACTCTGGTAATAAGTGTCACGCTGACCATGCTGTAAACATATCAGGAAGTGAGACAATTGGATTTTTCATCACTGAACCGGATGAACAAAGGTTATTTTCCAGTTATTGTGCTGCATATATATTCAAGATGAAATTCTATGGTTTATGCCATTTGCTCTGATAACTAGATTGGAATGATTGAAATGGGCGAGGGTTATCAAACAATTTGACCACCATATATCCATTATATTAAGATAATATTCCAAACAAATAAATACTATGAAGGTTATTTATGGCTTTTTTTTTTCTATTCTCATTTCACTAGTACTTTGTTTTCAGGTGTACGATATCTGGAAAAAGCTGTGTTTAATCTTGATTATGGGCAGTTGAAGCTTGTTTTCCATGCACTAAGGGAGCGTAAACAGGTCATTGAGAATGCCCCACACTTGTGTCAAGCTTTACCATGCATGACACCTTGTTTTGAATGGTTTGAGGCTGTATATTATTGGATGGGACTGAAATTATATGATCTCGTTGCTGGTCGAAGGATGCTACATCTCTCACGATATTATTCTGCAAATGAGTCAGTTGAACTTTTTCCAACTCTGTCTAGGAAGGGTCACAATGGGAGCTTGAAGGGAACAGTTGTTTATTATGATGGACAAATGAATGACTCCCGGCTGAATGTAGGACTGGCCTGTAGTGCTGTATTGGTGGGTGCAACAGTGCTTAACCATGCAGAAGTGATATCTTTGATCAAGGATGATTTTGGTGAGCGGATAATTGGCGCACGCATCCGTGACCAGTTATCAGGTAACACCAAGCAAACCTTAGTTCTCTTCTTTCCTTCTCTTGAAGTTGTAAATGTGTGATTAGACCGTCATCTAATAAGCTTTTTTTTTTTCCAACTTTTATCAGTGTTAGTCTAATCTGCTTATCAGATTTAGTGCTGATTTTTTTTATAATAAAAATTATGGTGTTAAAGTGTTCCCCATATGTAACCTTTATATAATAATCTCAAAGTGTTTGTCATTGTTATTAAAGGAATTGTCAGCAGAACCCTTTGATATCTAATCTACAATATATGGCTTTTGCTACCACAAGCCTCTGCTCTCTCAATACATGATAATTTTATCATATAAAACTGAAGTATTCAAATAATCTTTGTGGGCATCAATGGGGTATGTGTTAAATGACTTTCCGCTATGTTATTGAAGATAACAAAACCTATAGTATTTTGTTAAATGACTGCATTAATGGGCATTAATGGCCTGTAGTATGTTGCTGGATGACTTTAGAGTAAAGTCACATGGAGAGGTGACTGCCATTTTGCTTGTATTGGATGGGGCATTTTAATCTCCATGCTGGGGGAAACCTTGTCCTACTTTTATGTTGGTTATGCTTGAAAATTGAAATTATTCTTTTTAGCTTTTACATAAAAAAAAATGGTTTGTTTTGTCTAGTAGGGTAGCTAATGTATCTTCTTCCACTTGTAATGCTCCTTAACACCTATAAAGTGTATCAGGGAAAGAGTTCGATGCATATGCAAAAGTTGTTGTAAATGCGGCTGGACCATTCTGTGATAGTGTTAGAAAAATGGCCAACAAAGATTTATCAGCAATGATTTGTCCAAGTAGTGGTGTCCATATAGTGCTTCCTGATTATTATTCTCCTGAGGGAATGGGGCTAATTGTTCCAAAAACTAAAGATGGCCGTGTTGTTTTTATGTTGCCCTGGTTGGGAAGGACGATTGCTGGAACTACAGACTCCAACACTGCCATTACAATGCTCCCAGAGCCACATGAAGATGAAATACAGTTCATATTGGATGCCATTTGTAGCTATCTTAATGTTCAGGTTTGTAAATGGCTGCTTTATTTTTCCACTTTTTAATTTAAGCAGATTTTGCTTGAACAGTTTTTATTTGGAAGTAAACAGTTCTCTTTTACAAGGTTATGATGTACTCAGTTCAACTTAGAATTTATTTGGTGCCGTGAATAGATGTGTTTTTCTTGCTTTTCAGTTTCCATTCTTGTGGAATTGTTCGGATTACGTACAACTATTCTGTAAAGTTTATAACCTAGTATTATTTAGGAATCAAGACAAAATGGAGGAGAATTACTCAGTAATTCACATTGTCATTTCTTTTACCAGTAATCAGCTTATACATCTTGATTCCCCTTCCTTACTGTCCAAAAAAATACTTGGTATCACTAGGCTATGTCGGAAAGAAGACTGCTGTGTGTCTATTGTCTTTGAGATTGTTGCCTGAGAATCCTAACGAGTGATTGGAAAGATAAAAACCTAGAAATCTATAGGAAGAATGAAATTGTCTCTGATGGGTCTTCTGTTGACAGATCTTTTATAAAGAATGGAAAACAAGGATGAAGAACAAACTCTGTGCTGAATGTTTAGTTAGGAAAACAATTCTCTCCTTTAAGTTTACTTGCTAAAATGAATAAGATGCATATCTGTTTAAATTTATTCATTAAGCAAATAAAGTTGAGGCCATTATAGTGCATCAGGATATGAAGAGCAAACACTCCATAAATCATAATGGGAAAAATGGATAGTAGCCACAGAAGTCTGTGACCAGCAAAAGAATAGAAGTAGAATAATGCACAAACTCTACTCAGTGAATTAAGATTCATAAACTGTTTATATTGATTTGTTAAGCAAATAAAGTTGAGGGCATTATAGTGCGCGTCAAGATGACAAACAATTACATGATAAGTCTTGATGGATAAGGGAAAACAGATGCTAACCATAGAAATGAATAGCAGTGACTTCAGGAGCAAGAGAATAGATGTAAGTGCACAAAACCAATGAGACAGTTAAGAATATAGCCTAAACATAGGCACATAGGACATTCATACATAACCTAAATGTAACACATATCATGCATTCCTTTATAATTTTGGAACTTGTTACAGTTAAAAATATAAACATGAAAGTAGTGCAAGGACCAGTCCTAGTACCATTAAAGGAATCACTGTTGCAGGCTTTCCAAATCAATGAGAGAATATTATCTACTAAGACTCTCAGGATCAATAAGCCAAATTAATTTGGATCATTTCACTTGGCCAAAACCTCTCAAGCCAATTTACAAAAATCTTATATTGAGTATCCAATTTTTGTTCACAAGTGTTCCAAAATATTTTTGAAAAAGAGCATTTAATGAAAATATGATTAAGAGACTTAGAGCATTTGAAGAAAATAGGATCAAGAAACATAGGCGGAGAGCCACAGAGGATGCAAACACCAGCATTTCCAATACACAAGAGCCAATCTATCCTAAGTAGGGAGGCAGTTGTGGATTATTTTCTGGCAAAAAATCTTAAAGCGAGGGATAATGGGAAGCTCCCATATTCCTTGCCACCAAATTTCTTTCATATGGCTAAAAAATTTGGCCTTTTGAAAATCTATAGGGTAATTTAGTTGAAGGCTTGAAGCAAGTCCTAAATGAATACTTCAAACAATATATTCATTCTCCCTCCACTTTTAGCTGTGCTCACTGCTAAGACTGACTAGCATTTGCTTAGAATTTTCTGTAGTGTCCATTCTTCGTAAAATGTACTGCTAGAACATTTTGTTACTTGGAAAGGAAGGGTAGGTTAGGAACGTAGGACATCTTCAAGAGATTGAGACATCTTATGTATGCTTCATGTAGTGTGGTGTTATATGAGGGTTGATATATTGCCCATGCAGGATGTATAACCTAGGAAGTTGGGCACTTCGGTTCTCAAGTAACTTGAATTTTAGGGATGCTTTTGAATTCTTCAACATGAAAGACTTGGAAATACTTGTATTTTGAAGTTGTGGTCATTTGATTTAATTTGCATTAGTAGATAGCTTCATTGGAAGAATAGAATTGCAGAATTGGATTTATAATATGGTTAAAAACCTCAGGTGAGACGTTCAGATGTGCTTTCTGCTTGGAGTGGTATACGGCCGTTGGCCATGGATCCATCTGCAAAAAACACTGAGAGTATATCCAGAGATCATATTGTCCTTGAAGATTATCCTGGTTTAATCACAATTACTGGTGGAAAGTGGACTACTTATCGAAGGTAAAATTTATTAAAATATTCCAGTTTGTTGATGAAGGTCTTTTTGCAAATGATGAGATATAATCTTCACACAACAGAAAGCTACCTTGTGTATTTTCATCCAAATGCATGTTTTGTTTGGTCTGGTAGGGATCTGAATGTCATGGAAGGGTATGTTACTGTGAGTCTGTGACCATGAATATTTATTTTGTACTACATAAACAAGTCCTTAACTGAGGTATCTGAAGTATTTTATGAGCACTTATTTACTGGATTTTGCGAGCAAGCATGATGAGTTGTAGAAATACTGACTATTGATCTGACAGATATAAAAGCTTACCATATCTTCAATAGTTCTAATTGATTAATTTGTAGTTTCTGGTTCTTGACTTAAAATGAACACAATTCATTTTGTTATTCCATGTATCGGAGCATAATTTAGTGAAGGTCCTTGTTGCATTATAATTTATGTTGAAAGATGAACAATCTATAGTTACCGACGGTTCCTTGTAATGTGCAAGTGTTTGCATTGAGTTCCATATTCATTCATAAATTGTTATAGGAGATTTGATATTCTTGGACAGTTTCAAAATTACTTTAATAAACTCTGCATGTTCTTGTCAGCATGGCTGAAGATGCTGTTGATGCTGCTATAAGGTCAGGCAAGCTGAACCCTGCTAATGGTTGTGTGACTGACAACCTGCACCTTGTTGGTGGATATGGTTGGGATCCTGCATCATTCACTTTTCTTGCTCAGCACTATGTCCGCATGAAAAGAACACATAGTGGAAAAGTTATTCCTGGGGTGATGGATAGTGCTATTTCGAAGCATTTATCTCATGCATATGGTACTTTGGCTGAACAAGTGGCTGCTATTGCTCAGGTTGTGCTCAGCTTCATTGATATAAGATGCATGATATTTTACGGTGTAGAACTCTGTGACAACACACTATAATTAACATATGTCAAGATAGATCCTTTAATAGCATCACCATACAATCTCAATTTAAGTGGTATATAGTAATTTGACTTTTGGATTAAGTTTGGTTTTCAGGATGCTGTAACCGCAATGTAATTGGTGGCTAAAAAGAGGTTGGTTTATATGCAGTACGCATGCAAATTGTCACTTCAGAATGCAACTTGGCAGAAATTTTAATAACAATGATAAATAAAAACCTTCCAATGGTTTGATCATTGTTCTTGAGTTGATATCTACATGATTTGAACGCTTCATATGTGTGCAAATAAATTTTATGGTTTACTTGTGTGAATTTTGCAGAATGAGAATTTAGGGAAGCGGCTTGCCCATGGTTACCCCTTTCTGGAGGCTGAGGTTGCATATTGTGCTCGTAATGAGTACTGCGAGTCGGCCGTCGACTTCATTGCTCGGAGATCTCGCCTTGCATTTCTTGACACTGATGCAGCATGCCGGGCATTGCCTCGTGTAATTCAGATTTTGGCTGCTGAGCACAAGTGGGACAGGGCCAGACAGAAGCTCGAGCTGCAGAGGGCCAAGGAATTTTTAGAAACATTTAAATCATCAAAGAATGCACAGTTCCATGATGGAAAACACATAGGTAAGGAAACTTCTTGACCTAGATTCTTTCTTTCCAAGTCAGCTTCTGATTGCTGCTGTCGGTTTTGCAGGGTCATGAACTAGGAAGTCTACCTCCAGGAATAGCAATAACATGTTAAACAGCAATGCACAAGTAGGTTTCGACCTAAGGAGGTCAAACAACAATTCTTCTTATTTTGTGGCTCAAAGAACAAGAGCTCAAATTCAACTGCAAAAATGTAACGTTGTGGTTGCTAAACCATTATGATATCTTGTCACATTGCCCAGTCAATAAGAAGCATTTCTTTTAATCCCTGGTCACATCAATTGCTGCATTTAAGCAGCAATGGTTGAAGCTCTAATTCTCCAAATTACATTGGCTATATTTATCTGATCTTATAGAATATATGAGTGGATGTTGTCAAATTATACTTTTTGCCACAGAACTCATCTTTTGAATTGGAATATAAGAACAACTCTGATTGATGGCGGTGCTCAGATTTATATAATTTTCTGGCATCAGTTGGCTTATTGGAGATTTGACTTGAATCCAAGTCACATTTTGATTCCTTTTATTAAGATCGATCTCTTGTTGATTTCATTGATTGATGTGTTTGCCATTCTGATGACATGATTTTATTACATGTTGTTTGTTTCATTTTTAGAATCAATTAAAATTCGCGTTTGTAGCAGAAATTGAGCTTGGTGGGACCCGCCCTCTAGCTTAAATCGAAGTGGTCGATGATCCCGAATCGTGCACGTTGAAAATGAGCAACACGTCCTTTGTTCGTCAAACAGATACACGCTTCGTTACCTGACGTGTGATTCGTAGATGCTCGAATTGCGGGGCCCACAGGAGGCTTGTTGCTTGACGGCAGGGGAGGAGAAGAGAAACGGAGACCGGTGTTTATTACGACCACGGAATCTTCCCTCGGTTGTCAACCTTTCCGCCTTCCCCACCGCCCGTGTCCTCCTCTTCCTTGTCTCCGTCGCCTACGGCTTCTATTCTTGGAACGACGACGTCGGGCATGGCCGATTCCTCTTCCCTCTGGTTCTCGCCCTCCTTCCACGCCCTGCGCGGCGCCCGCCCTCGTTCCCCCGACGCCAACCCATCGAGGAGGAAACTCGCATTCCTCCGCTCCCGTGCCTCTCCCTCTTCTTCTTCCCCCGCTCCTTCTCTTCCCAAGCTGTTGGTCCTCCGCGGCCGCCGATCGCCCCGTCCTCGCGCCAAGGAATCCGACGACGAAGGTGGCTGCTTCGGGGACGATCCCTATGTGCCTTACCCCTGGGAATCTTCCGTCTTCTCCGACGGTCCAAGTACGCTTCGCAAACCTTGACCTTTGAATATTAGGGTTTCATTTTGATTGTTTTTTGGTGAATTCTGCACGACTTGGCGTGTCCCGTGTGTAATCGGTGAATCCAAGATTTCAGGATTTTCTTCCTCAGATCACAATCTGTTGCAAAATTATATTCATGAATCATTTGCGGGAACAGGGTTTTGGTATCGGTTATGAACTTATTAAAGACATTCTCTTTGGTTGTAAATATCGCCTCGTATGAACCTATATAACAGATTCTGTTCAAGTGTTATTGTCTGAAACGAAATATGGAGGGACTGGAATTAGAACATCATAGATTCCATGCTTAGTCTTTGGAATTTGGGGCTTGTCGACACAAAACGTGTGTAGGAGCTGTCAGTTTATTAGGATGAGAAAATATGGTAACTCTGAGCAACGATAGCTGATTCATGTCATGGGAGCATATGCCTAACTGATATTTTGGTTTCTTAGAGCACAGACCAGAAACCAGCTAAGCCGTGCATAATAATTTAAGAATTTTAATCTTTTCCCATTCAGATAAAAGTTTTGAATGATCTACTAGTTTTTCATCACTTAGAATCTATACTCTAGAAACACATTCTTTTTGTAATTAATGTCTGGAACTTCAGCTACTCGAAGCACTCAAGAAAAGCTAGTGTCATAGAACTCTCACATACATAAAATTCAATATGCTTATGAACAGGAAATGAATCTGATATGTGGGGTATGTTTATTTGTGCAGTTTAGCTGTATTGTATTATTCGTAAAATAGTTGTGTCACTGTAAGATGATGCAACTATTCTTGAAAGACTTTGTTATATCCAGTGATTTAAAAAGCGCTAGGCGCTCGCCCGAGCGAAGCGAGGC